TGACAATTGAAATTTCACCACAAGGACCCACACAGTGGAAGGAGAAAAATGACTCTCACAAGTTTCCCTTTGACTTCTATGTGTACACTGTGGCTTACATAATACCCCTCACCTCAATAAAATAGATGTAATAAAAATATAAAAATATTAGTGTTAGGGATAATGTGTCATACTCAGGAGCTTCCTAATCACTACACCCACACTGAACGTGACTTGATCTATAGAAATTGCACCTGCAACCACATAATAGGGTGCTTATTAAATAGGTTTTATGAGTATTTGAAATTAATAATGCTTCAGTTTAACTGAAAATCTCAATGAAGGTCAAAGAACATTTAAAATGAAGGCTTGATACACTACCTTGAGGACAAATAATCTGAAGCTCAATGCCTTCCCAAGGAAATGCACACTGTTTCACTAAAGCGCAAAGAGATTACTTTATTAGAGCCATGAGGCCAGTTACAAGGAATATTGTATCTAAATATAGTCTCATGTCCTAAGGGGGCTTATGGATCAAATTTATGAGCTCAGATTATAGGACAGCCAGAAGCAAGCATTTAGGAGGACAGGAATAACTGTATCCACAGTAGGTAGACATTTTAGGTAGTCACTCAAAATTAAGGAAATGATATGGTAATCCAATATGGATGGTGACGTTAATGCCTACTCACTGAAAACAGAAACAAACTAATGTGATATAATAATGGATCTGGAAAAAAAATCTCACAACTTTGCATAAGTAACCAAAACCAAAACAACAAAACCCCACATTTAACTTAGGTGAGCAAATCACTCATATGCACAAAAACAAGTTTTTCAAAGGTGATCTGTATAGAACTCACTGTCCAGTAGGCATGAATAAATCAAAGGTCATATATTTAATCCAAGCTGCAACTCAGAGCTTAAGGAAGAAGCCAGTTATATGGCTTTTTTTTTCATAGTCACCATTCTAAACGCATGATATGAATGCTGAAGTACAGAGTTAATGGAAACTGAGTGTTCAGGAATGCCACTTAATTAACTTTCAGGAATATTACTTATTCTGTGTAAATAATTTGCAAATAATTTGCACTTTTTTTTTCAGAGACAGGGTTTCTCTGTGTAATAGTCCTGCCTATCCTGGACTTGCTTTGTAGACCAGGCTGGCCTAGAACTCAGAGCTCCACTTGCCTCTGTCTCCCATGTGCTGGGATTGAAGGCACACAACACCACTCCAGCTAAGAACTTAAATCTTAACAGTGGTAATGAACACTTCCTGAATTGCTTGGTTGTATATTCTGTAGAATAAAACCATTGGCATTGGTGTGCCGTAAGAGTACAAATCTGCATCAAAAGTAAAGGAAAACAATTGGGCATAGAGGCACACAGTATTAACACTAGCTCTCAGGAGGCTAAGGAAAACTGCCAGTTCGAGGACAGCCTGGATTACACAATGAGACCCTGCTTCTGCCTTTCTCAAGCATCCCTGCTCCCACAGAAAAGTAATGGAAACACAGGGTTAAAAGTATCATTTTAATCACAAGTTCACTAGATATCTCATTTGCATATATCAGAAAGCTAAAAAGATACATAAAAATTCAAATCCAATAAGCAAAGATATGTCACAGATTTTCATGTCTATAATTTAGTCTTTATCACATAAATATTTATAAATACATATTTGCAAAATTGCTGTTCTTAAAACATTTATTTCTAACACATTTAAATTTCTCACAAATGAGTTAAGGGAAAAATAACATTCCATTTGACAATGTACAAGTAGACTTCAATGTGTGATTATACCAGTGTGACCAGATAAGAAAAAGAAACACACGACTATGTTAGATGTGTTATCAATTAGAAACCATGATAGCATGTCTTAAGGTGGTTACCAAATACATGCTCTTGTCAGTCATTCTCAGAACCATTTGGAGGTAAGAAAATCAATGCATCATTAAAAACATGTCCAAATGCTCTAAGCCGGTACACTCCATACATCATCACATGCATCTGATTAGGAGTCAGTCCATTGAAAGTAACAGCCATATCAGAACAGCATCCTTCTACTACCTGGTTTGGGTGGTTAGCCATTGCTTCTTTAATAAAAAGCCCAACAGATTTGGTATTAAACACATCTTTTCCATAGGCGTCTTCTGCATTTTCTGCAAATACTCCAGCATATTTCAGGCAGATGGCTAGCTGCTTATCTTCAGATAACTTCCAAATCATTCCTCCTTGTTCAGGACACTTCTCAGGAACACTGAAAAGGCTGTTGAGTCTTCTCATTGATTCTACACTTAAGACAATTCCTCCATCCACACTCACATATTCAAGGTCTCCAGATTTTATAGTGTGTCCTAGATAGAAAGGTTGTGATGGATCCTTTTTTAACAAAAAATATTTGAGGTTTTCAATAACAGCAAAAGTAGTGGGGCGTGTAAGGAAGAACCAATTGTACTGGTCCTTGTATTTTTCATAGGCATATTTGTAAACTTTCCTCATCATCAACCACATGTCATTTGTGTCCATATTAATTGACTCAAACACTTTAACATTTTCAGAACTGAAAAATTCTGATTTGTCACAGTGTTTGGTCCAAGTTTCCTTCACTGCAGCCCAAAGACTTACATCTTTGGGTTTTACAAGAACTATACAGTACACCCGGAAACTCTTACTGAGCTCCATGCGTTCAGCCTCTGAAATTTTTGAGATATCGTCTTTGTTAGGAGCTTGCAGATGATGATGTTCATGGTGGTGCATTCTGATTCCAATCCTAATGTTGCCTAGCATAGTGATCAAGGCACAGAAGATGCTTCCAAGCATCACACCCTTCAAAAATGAACTGCTTTCTGAAAGCATTTTCCCTGCAAAGAAAAAGACTTTTCAAAGACATAGTCTAATAATTTCACTTGGTTATTTCTCATATACTTACATTTGCTTTTAATGTTTGAAATCAAAAGGTCCACATGCTTGAAGTCAGGTGAGTAGCAGACTGTGAGAAGTACTCTCAGAATCCTTCCATTGGAATTTGGTCACCATTAAGTAGAAACAGTAACATTATAGAAACTTGTCCATGGGTAGAATTTGCACTGTGTGTGTTGTGGGTCTGTGTGTGTGTATTTTTGCATATCATCATTTATTTAAGTGGGAAATCAAAGCATTAGTTTAGAAACTAATGTTATAAACATTGCTTTTCCATCATCCTCTAAAAATTTTTTATGACAAACTTGCACTGTTATTAAGTACCTCTGGTCATTATAAAGGGGCTTTTAGATCAAGACTTTAAGTTGAACATATACTCAATTTAAACTCAAATTTCTCTTTTCTTTCTTCTCCCTTTCTTTTTTTCTTTCTTTCTTTCTTTCCTTCTTTGGTTTTTCGAGGCAGGGTTTCTCTGTGTAGCCTTGACTGTTCTGGAACTTGCTCTGCAGACCAGGCTGGCCTCAAACTCATAGAGATCCATCTGTGTCTGCTTCTCAAGTGCTAGGATTAAAAGCATCCCGCTGTCCGGCCGCAGCCAACAACACCAGTCTCAAATTTCTCTTTTCAATGTAGTGTTTTATTTAACTGGTGGTTAATGTCCTGGTTTTTTTTTTTTTTAAAGCGATCTAAATCAAATTTCTTGTGGTTAATATCATGTTATTATCATTCTGCCCCTAAGAATAAATGTCTTACAATACAGTGCACCAACTACTGATGTAATAAAAGCATCTGTAACCCCAGCACTGTGGGACTGCAGACAGATCACTGGGGCCTGTTGGCCTTCAGTATATTTTCTGGTTTCAGAAGAATAAAGGGGACAGTGATAGAGCGGGATACCAGAAGTCTGTTTTTACCTCAACTCTATGACCCCCTCCAAAGCCATACACATATTTCTTTTAAATAGGGAAATGGAGAACCACAAAGGTTAAATAACTGACCTCAAGCCACAAAGGCTATCAGTGATAGAAGTGACCTATAAATGAGAAATGTGGATCTACTAGGCAAAAATTGATGCTTGCACCAAATTTTGCTATAATGCTACAAAGATACTACATTGACATTTTTCTTTTTTTTTTTTTTTCCTTTTTTTTTGAGGTGGTGTCTCACTATGTAGCTCCAGGTGGTCTTGACCTTGTGATTCTCCTACTTCATTTGCCCATGTGCAGGTATCACTCATGTATGGCACCACTTCTGGCTCCTGCTGCTTTCTTATGGAAGAAATGAGCTTTGACTTCTACCACAATGACAGCTGTGTGTTGGGCAGGTATAATTTCTGAGAGTGTTTGGGGAAGAGGGTGGGAAGAGGCAAGATAGTAGTTTCCTTGTGTAATCCAGAGAACTTGGTCAATAAACAGTTGCCGTAGGAAAGGAGAGACAGCAGAATACCTATGCCTCAAAACAGTATTGTCAGGTGCATCTAAATATAAATTGTTATAATTGCAGTTCTAATCACACAATCATTATTTCTGGCCAATACATAACAATCCAGACAAGTCCATTCGTCCGATTTTGTGTCAGATTTTTTCCTGACAGGGATACTATTCCTGGAGCCAAAAATATTATTAAAACTGGAAACATCTACAAATTTTACACAAAATTATTTGCACAAATTATCCTAACATTTTTCCTCCATTGAGGAATAAAAAAACAAGTCACACCAGCGATCACCATGATAAGATATTTTGTACAGAGCAGAAGAGAACTTAAACTGCACACACAGAAAAAGCAGTAACTGTGTTTTTGAGACAAACTTTCTCTTTTTTTTAGAAGGAGAAAGTGGACAGAGATCAAAATGGAGACTGGGTACCAGGATGGACTTCAGTATTTCAAGATCCCATTGAGGGGCCAGCCGAGCACCTCTAAGAAGGCTGTTTTCTACCACTCCCACTAGATTCCACCCCCCCCCCCGCAGCACCTGCCAAGACATCCCGAGTGGGGCATGCTGGGAATGGGCTAGAGCTCAGGCCTTCCCCAGGGGAGGGAGAGGAGCAGCCGCTCCAGGTGGCGCTTGGAGTAGGGGCCGAGGTCTTGGCACTCACCGCATCTAGAATGGCTAGAAGGCAGGAAAACGCAGTCTTACGTGGCTTTCCTCTCACGTCCGCAGTCACTCTCCCGATCAGGCTGCTCTGGACGCAGGCGGTATCCTCTCGTTGGTCTGATCAAAGGTAGGGTGATACAGGAAACTGAAGGAGAGGGGTGGGGGTGGAGGACAGGCCCCGCCCCACGCTGAGTTCATATCTTACGTACCCAATGGGATGGCTCGAGGGGCTTGCGTGTGCTGGGTCCGCCCACAGGCTCCTTTTCGGTCTGCCTACTTGGCGTGGAAACTGCCAGAGTCCGGAAGCGAATTGGTGTCTGCTTGTTGTAGAGTTCTGGATCGTTTCTCTAACCTACGCCAATGTGTTGATACCGTTGTCATGGCAACAGGGTGTTTCTCTTAGTATTCCCTCGCCCGGAACCAAAACGCAAGTCATCGAAATAGTTATCGCTTTGGGGAGCAAGAATTGGCTGTGTTTACTAGGGTGGTTGTATTTGGAGCCTCGTAGCCTAGTCCTTTGATACCCTGGAGAAGTGACTTTTTTCACTCTGCCTCCGTTCTTTCCTTTGTTATGTTTGAAAAATATCACAGTAGTGCCTATCTCACAGGTTATCAGTTAGTGTACATAAATCTCCTAGCGAAAGTTCAAGTGTAAACTAAGCATTTAATAAATGTTGGCTCTTTCTATTCCACCCTCTATTGCTAGCACACAGTGCCTGTAAACAATAGACAAATATTTGTGGAGTTAATGAATGTTAGAAATACAGGTGAGGAATCAGGCCAGGACACAGGACAAGGGTTGCTTTCAAAGGGCTATGCAATAAATTAAATGCAGAGGTGAGTGTAGAACTTAGGTCTAATTAGGACTACAGAACCCTCCAATAAATGTATAGTCTCTTGAAGTGCTTTTTTTTTTTGTAGCTGGTGCTTTCAGTCACACCTGTAATCCCACCACTAGGGAGACTGAGTCAGAAGGACTGAAAGTCAAAGGCTAGCCTTATAGCTTTTCAAAATGTACTATCACTAGATTTGGTTCAGGTAACCCTGAGTTGGGCCTGAGTTCCTGGAAACACACACATTTGAGTGGTGACTTACAACGATATAAATACAGTTCAAGAAATACTGTAATGACATCAGGGTTGCAGGAAATTATTCTGACAGTAGTACAGTAATCTGGAGGCTGTATTCCTGAAAATTTTTGTTATTCTTTTTCTTTGGGGGGGGCATGTTTGTGTTTAAGGTAAAGAAGTTCACAATTTTTAGGAGTTTCTGTTTGTTTGTTTGTTTGTTTTTTGAGACATGGTTTCTCTGTGTAGCTTTGGCTATCCTGGACTCACTCTGTAGACCAGGCTGGCCTCAAACTCACAGTGATCCACCTGCCTCTGCCTCCCTGAGTGCTGGGATCACAGCCACTGCACCTGGTTCACAACTTTATTTTGTATGTTAAGGGCCTTTTCTTTTTCCTCTTCTTTGCAGGCATCCAATTCATCCATATCCCAAAACAAAACAAAACAACCCCCCCTGCAGTCTTTCACCTATGGCCCACATCTTCATCAATATTCATCTTTTCCTTTAGCATCTGAAGAGTCACTTTCTCTTCCTTCTGTTTCTCCATGCCATGTGAAAGGCATGACACTGAAGAGGCTGCCAGAATACTTTGTTTCAGTCTCTTCAGTTATTCCTTCTCAGTGGCATTGTGTCTGTTAATGCCTTTCCTCCCTCCTCTCTCTCTCTCCTTCTTATTCAGAGGGCCAGCTGTCTTCCATTACAGTGAAAGTTTTCTAATTTGAATTAAGTACTGGGTCATCTTGCCAAATATCTACTTAAAATTGTGTTGAATGGAGCAGGGCCAGTAAATTCAATTTTCATCTATTCCTTCCAGTGCTTTCTTACAGTTGTTTTTACTAAACCAGATTCATTCCCAGAGATGGCTAGGAAAAGTTACTCATTCTATAACCTTTTTATATGGACAGTGCTGTCCTTTCTCTTCTTTGATGATAGCATACTGTTTGTCAGGGGACAAGAATGATCAATTTCAGTGTCCAATTGGAATGTGTCTATTTCTGCAAAAGCGTTTAGTGTTGGTTCTTATTTTTCTCTCTATGTGATTATGTTTAATTAAATGCTATATAAGAAATGAAAAGAAACATAAGGAGCTGCAAAAGCATGCAACCTCACAAAGAGTGAAGCAATTGAGGTTTCCTTTGTAGACTGATAGTGGAGTTTCCATATTGATGGGAAGTTAAAAAACAGATTTAGGGCACATTATCTACTGCTGATCTCTTAGCCAAGTCATATAGGTGAGAAGCTATCAGTGAGTGTCTAAAATTAACAAACACACAGGTTTACAAAGCAATCCTAAGACCAAGACTCTCAAATAATACTGAAGTTTTCTCTTGAGACTCTCATCTTATGATCTTTCAACAAACTCATTTAATAATGCTGGATAATTTAAATTTTAAATTTCTTTTTTCGAAGAATTCTGGTTTTTTGTTCGTTTTTTTTTTTTTTTCTCTTTCTCTTTTTCTTTTTTTAACTTCAAGTAAGTTTTAAGCCAGGGAGTGGTGATGGCATACATCTTTAATCCTACCACTCTAGAGGCAGAGGTAGGCAGATCCCTGTGAATTTAAGGCCAGCCTGGTCTACAGAGCGAGTTCCAGGATAGTCAGGGCTGTTACACAGAAAAACCCTGTTTCAAAAACAAAACAAAACAAACAAACAACAACTCCCAAACCCCAAAACAAAAAAGATTAGTTTTACTGAATTTTGATTTATCAAACTTTTCCACTTTGTACAAGTCTTATTCAACTAAAAGGACTACAAGGCCAAGGCCTTGTGCAAGATCACCAACAGGTGAGATCACTGTTTGCTTACAACCAGGTTTGATTCTTTTTTTCCCCGCCCAGACAGAGTATCTCTCTGTAGCTCTGGCTGTCCTGGAACTCACCGAGATCTGCCTGCCTCTGCCTCCTGAGTGCTGGGATTAAAGGAGTGTACCACCACCACCCCATCCAGCTTGGTTCTTATTTTTAAGGAACAAAATTGCTTGCTTCATACTGTGCTCTGAACAGCATCACTGGCTGCATGGTGCCAAGAGTTCAGCATGCACTGCTGGTAGGATCAGACCCAAGCCTTGTTTTTCTCATTTTGTTTGTGTAAGATCCAAATTCACATGAATAGCTTTGCTTTAAAACTTTGAAATAAATGCCTGTGAAGTTTAAATTTGATTGTTAACTTGACAGGACTGAAAAAGACTCTAGGCAATTAGTACAGCACATGTATGTATATGGGGCGGGTGTAGAATAAGGGGGAGGGCGAGAAGCAGGAGAGAGACAGAGACAGAGAGAGACAGACAGGAGAGAGAAATTTCCAGAGAAGACTAAGGAGGCTAGGCATACCTCTAGATGTGGGTTGTGCCATTCATTACATAGGCTGTGGTCCTAGGTAACTAATATGTGCAAGGCCCTGAGTTCAGTCCCCAGTTCTGTCAAGAAAAATAGTGGTCATTAGCTTGGCAGAATGTAATTACTGAAGATGAGTCATGTATACTTTGAACTTTACATTACTATCTATGTTTCTATATATGTTTTAAAAAATATTCATGGAGCTGAGAAGATGGTGGTAACCAGCCTGCACCATATCTGAGGGGCAGAAGATCCAAAACTCCAAACTGGTGAGTGGAGGGGCAGGGAGGCACGGGCCTCCCTGCTCTGCTGCTACTGCGCTGGCTGCTGCTGCCCTAAGCACAAGCCTCCCAGCTTGGTGACTCAGACAGTGGAGGTGTCCCCAAGTATGGGAGTCCCTGCTTGGCTGCTGCAGCAGGCAGCCACTGACCCAAGTCAGAGCCTCAGAGCTTCAAGGCCAGAGGTATCCCCAACTACTGGCTTCCCTGCAGGGCAGCCAAACAGTTGACACCACTGACAGCTCTACACTTTCATTTGCCCCTAGGGGCCCAAATCTGAGAGTAGAGAAACGGGGGTGGGGGGGACCCGGTGCTTTCTGCATAGGCCTGCTAGTGAGTTAGTGTGCCTTCAAGCTAATGTGTACAGGGTCCCAGATCCAGATCCTAGATGTCTGCTAGCAGCCAGACATCAGATCCCTCTAACCCACACCCCCACTGTGGTGTAACATAGGGATCCCTGGGACAGCATTCTTAACATTGAAATTCCTGTTCTGTGGGTCTCCCAGTGGAGTCCAGGCAAACAATTCCTAGAGCCAAGATGGCACAACCCAGAAATATCTGAATGTTTGGAGCACAACACCTAGACAGGCCTGTGGGCCTCTGAACCATTCAGAACACCCGTGCATGGGCATTGTGCCCACAAATCTCACCAGCACCCCCAAATGCACTTATACTCCAATCTTCCAGGCATACACATATTGTCACATTGTAGTCAAAACACAGAACAAAGAAAAAATATTAAAAGCAGCAAGGGAAAAAGGCCAAGTAAAGGTATAAAGGTAGACCTCTCAGAATGACACCAGACTTCTCAACAGAAACTATGAAAGCCAGAAGCACCTGAGCATATGCCATGCAGACTCTAAGAGACCATAGATGACAACCCAGGCTACTATACCCAGAAAAGCTTTCAATAAACAGAGATGGAGAAAACAAAATATTCCATGACAAAGCTAAACTTAAACAATATCTACACAGCAACCCAGACCTACAGAAGATACTAGAAGGAAAACTCCAATCCAATGAAAACAACTACACCCAAGAAAACACAGGATATAGATTATTTCACAACAAAAAATTAAAAGAAAATAAGCATTGAAACACAGTAACACCACCAACTCCACAATAAAAGGAACTAACATTCTTTGGTCACTATTAACTATCAACATCAATGGACTCAACTCTCCAATAAAAAGACACAGACTAACAGAATGGTTACAGAAACAGGATCCAACATTCTGCTGCATCCAAGAAATACACCTCTGCAACAAAGATAAATACTACCTCAGAGTAAAGGGCTGAAAAAAAAAGTTTTTCCATCAAACAGACCCAGAAAACAAGCTGGGGTAGCTATTCTAATATCTAATAAAATAGACTTTCAACTAAAATTAAGCCAG